CCTTGCGGAGCACAGGCTCCAGATGCGCAGGCTCAGCGGCCATGGCTCACGGGCCCAGCCACTCCGCGGCATGTGGGATCCTCCCGGACCGGGGCATGAACCCGTGTCCCCTGCATCGGCAGGCGGACCCCCAACCACTGCGCCACCAGGGAAGCCCCTCAACTTCTCATTTTTAAGTCAGGATGAGGTTTATTCTGAAAAGACTGCTGAACTTCTAGCTTCAGCTTTCATTGTGCAGCGTTTTTTTAAAAGATACAGAACTGTATCTTTAGTGGCCAGTATTGGTATTTCTGAAAGCATGTTGGTTATCACAAGCTGTACGTCATCCAATAATAAAATCAGTATTAGAAGTAAATTGATGTTTAAAAACAAATTGGAAAAATTAATGGTAATTTTTTGGTGAAGTCTGTATTGATGGAGAAAATAAGATAGCAAAATAATTTGTTCTGCATAAATCTAGGTTATTTTTAGATTTAATATAATTTTTAGATGTCATTAATAACCAAATTTTGTTTGGCTTTAGTTACAACTTTTGACTATCTCAGTTGTTAACTTTCTCTGTTCAGATACCCACAAGCACATTATACAAGCATCAATGAAACGTTCAGATTCATTTGACCATCTTTGTCCCAGGCTTGAAACTGTCATTATATTTGCAGTTTTCTTGTATGTGTTGTTTGACTTCAAAGGGTTATCAAGGATCATAGATAGGCATCTGGATGAATCTTTGAGCTTCCCAAAACACAAGGTGGGTAAAACAAGGTAGTGGGAAAAGAAAGGATAATGTTCATAGTAGTTGTGGCAGTGGCCTTGAGAAATGGTGTACGTTAGACATCATTAGAATCTGAACTTTTCCTGTACACTGGGTTTTCCTAGAGTGAATTTTCTTTAGCTTGCTGCTCGTCTCTACTCATACCAGTGATTTATGAGCTAGTCAGGAAAGTTTCATGATTGGATTGTCCTATTCAAACAGCATGATACATTTTCATAAAATCCTTCTTTCAATGCCCTTTTTTTTTTCAAAGCGCGTCAGCTGACTGTTCAGATGATGCAAAATCCTCAGATTCTTGCAGCCCTTCAAGAAAGACTTGATGGTCTGGTAGAAACACCAACAGGATACATTGAAAGGTACAAGTTCTTCTTTTTCATAGTCCTTATTTATCTTTCTATAATCAACGTTGCAGGTGTATATTTCTAAGGCCATCTGGGACTTAATGTATGTCACAGTGGAAAGCTAGTGTTCATTAGTATCTAGTATAGGATTATTGGGAGTTTAAAATTTTGCTGAGTACAGATTTAGAGTTGGTCTTTTAAAGTTTATTTTGGTTCATCTCCGTAGGGAGTATACTGATCTTAAATCATTTCTGAGATTTGTTAGAAATGCACAGAATTAAAAGAAATACAGATTTCTTATTTATTTCATTGGTGATATAAATCACTAATAATAGCCCAAATATCTTATTCTGCTTATAATTTTTTACATAACTTTATAATTCTAAGATCTCTCCACATTGCTGTCTATATGTATCTCTCGTCATTAGTTTCTGGCTTCTGAATGTTTCCTGGTTCTCTGTGACGTGTGTCCACCATGCTTTATTATATGCTTTTTCCTTGATGGTCATCCAGTTTGTCTCCAAGCTTCATCAACACGAATTCAGTTGTGATGTTGTTCACGCTTGTGTATGTCCTCTTAAGGAGCTGTGTGGGAATTTCTTGGGATATGTACTTATCAGTGGAATTGTTAATTATGGGATATGCAGACCTTCAGTACCTCCAGGTGCTTTCTGCAATGCCTATGTCCAGTATGTGAAGGTCGCTTTACCCTTGTGTCCTTGCCAACAATTGACATCATTCAGCTTTATCGTTTTTCTGTTTTTACCAATCTAAGAGGTGCAGGCTCATTTTGTTTTACTTGTATTTTCTGATTTCTAATGGGTTGAGCTTGCTTTCATAATGATTGTGAGTGAGCCTTTTAGGTTGCTCATTTTGTACCCTTTTGCCCATTGACATTTTGGGGTTTACTACCTTTTTTTTAAAATTAATTAATTTATTTTTGGCTGCGTTGGGTCTTTGTTGCTGCACGTGGGCTTACTTTAGTTACGGTGAGCGGGGGCTTCTCTTTGTTGCCATGCACGGGCTTCTCATTGTTGTGGAGCATGGGCTCTAGGCGTGTGGGCTTCAGTAGTTGTGGCACTCGTGCTCAGTACTTGTGACGTGCTCAGTACTTGTGACCTGCCCAGTACTTGTGGCTCAAGGGCTCTAGAGCGCAGGCTCAGTAGTTGTGGCGCACGGGCTTAGTTGCTCCGCAGCATGTGGGATCTTCCTGGACCAGGGTTCGAACCTGTGTCCCCTGCATTGGCAGGTGGATTCTTAACCACTGTGCCACCAGGGAAGCCCTGGTTTACTGTCTTTTTCTTGTTTTGTAGGAGTCCTTGTGTATTCTAGGTTTTAATCCCTTATCAGTTTTAGACTTTGTAAATAATCTATTGTCATTTCTATTAATTTTGTCCATGGTGTCCTCTATTAAACAAATCCTTAATTTTTATGTTTGTTAAATTTTTTGACATACGGCTTGTTCTTCTGAAGATAAATCTTTCCTTACTCCTTCTGCATTTCCTATTGACTAGTTTTACCTTTTACCTTTAGGTCTAATCCCTTTAGAGATCACCTTTGTATTTCATATTCAATAGGCATCTTTCTTTCCTTTCTTTTTTGGTGAGCTAGTTTTTATAATGCTTCACTAAACAGTTCATGCTTCCCCCATTTATTTGTGTTACCACCTTTATTTATATCAAATTCTTACAAACACCTTTGTCTCTGAGCAGCACTCTTTTTCATTGGTTTTTTTCTTGTTCTTTTGTCATTGTCCCACTTAATTACTCTGGCTTTATAGTATGTCTTAATATCTGGCAGGGTGAGTTGCTTTCTTCTACCACCCCTCATCCACCATGAAACACACTTTTAAGGTTGATCTTACCATCTGTAGCCCTTTATCCCATGTATGGTTGAGAGTAAGTTTATCAGGGTTCTCTTAAAAAAACAAAAACCCTCAAAATAACAAAAAACTAGAATTCTCTTAAGAATTCCAATATCTTTTTAGTATTAGATTGTCTCATCCATATCCTTGTATTTATTCAGATCATATTCTGTATCTTTTATTACAAAGTTTTCTTCTTGGTTAATTCCTCTATATTTGTGTTGCTGTTGTGAATAGTGTTTTTTGTTGTATTTTCTGGTTGGCTGTTCTTGATAAAGGAGTACTACTGATTATTATTTTTTTAAAGTTGATCTTGTGTCCAGAAACCTTGCTACTCTTACTGTATAGTAATTTGTTCTGTTATTTCTCACATAGCCCCAAAGATCTTATCTGCAAGTGGCAGTTTTAACTCTAATCTTCCACATTACACCACACTGCATGTTTATTTTTCTTTCTTTGTAACATTGGCCAGGACTTTCAATACTGTGTTAAACATTAGCATTAAAAATGGGCATCCTTGTCTTATTTCTTATCTTAACCAGGAATGAGTATGTAATCTCTTCATTAATGTGTCTGTTTGTGATTTATTATGACCTTTTTTCCTTTATCAATTCAGATAGTCTTTTGACTTTTTCTTTGAATCTACTAATTGTATATTAAATATGGTTTTGGAAACCTTAGTTGGGTAGTTAATATTTTATTTGGGGTCCTTATTTATTAGTGAAAAGAGCTTGTGTGTGCCTGTACACACACACACACACACACACACACACACACTCTCTCTCTCTCTCTCTCTCTCTCTCTCTCTCTCTCTCTCACTCTATCCCTGGTTTTAGAGTCAAGATTTCAACTGCCTAGAAATGAACAAGATTGCTTTTACTTTTTTCTTTGTTTTCTGGAACAACTTGTATAAGATAGGAATTCCTTGAACAGTTGGTGGAACTCTTCTAAAAATTGACTTGGGCCTTTGGGATTTGGCAGCTAGAGGTCCTGGGGAATTTATCCTTTTTCTTCTTTTTTTTCTTTTTTTATAACATACTAACTGACCTCTTCAATTTCTCTTGTGCCAATTGTGGAGTTTTATGTTCTCCTAAAACTGTATGTGTTTTATCTAGGTTTCAAATTGATTAGTGTATAATTCATATTTTTAAAAATCTGATTTTTCCCTTTCATATTCTGTATTTTGTATCTGCATTAGTTTTGCCAGTTGTCTCAATCTTAATGTTTTGGTTTTCCATTTGCATTTTTTTGTTATTGCTTCTTTTTTCTGGCTTTAATGTTATTTCCTTATGTGGGTTTGCTCTATTCCCTTCCCAGTTTCTTAATTGCCTGCTTAGTTCATTTAATTAAAAAAAATTAATGTGTCTCTTTTACAGCCATAAAACTTTTTATAAATGCTGTGTGAATAAGTATGAAAATTTATATGCCGAAATCAATAGCTTAGGCATATTAGTTGTATTGTTCAGATTCTCTTTATTTTTGCGTATTGATTGACTGCTTGATCTAACAGTTTTTGGGATGAATGTATAAAAAAATCTTCTTAATTTATCTTTCTCATCCTATAATTCTGTCAGTTGTAGATTGTGTCATAGATTTTGTTTTGTCTGATACTAAGATAGCTGCTCCAGCTTTGTTTTGGTTTTTATTTATCTGGCGTGTCTTTTTCCATCCTTGTATCTTACTCTAGTATGATCGTGTTCTTCTTTATTAGTAATTTCAAACTCTTTACATTTCTTAGAAGTGGTATTGTTTTGGAGTTAATTGCTCTTCTCTTTTCTTATTATCTAATTTATGGTACTTTTTTCTCCTTTTCTGTTTTCCATTGAAAAGATCAAGTTGTCTTCTGCTGGTTTCAAAGTTAATGCATTTTGTTTTTTGTTATTATGGTAAAATGGATCATAACCTAATATCTCAGTTTATTTACCCCTATTGATCTGTTAAATTCACCAATAATATACTTCCTCTAGGCCTCTTTTTTTTTTTCTTTCAAGGCAACAGTAAAATTTATCAAGATATTTTTGATTCACCCATATGTTATATAGCATCTGGGTTTTTTTTTACTTCCTCAAAATTATTTTTCATGAATATAATATCTGTGGCATACTTCCTAAAGCCTCATATACCTTATACAGTTTTTATTTTGCCTTCATATCTGAAAATTTTAAGTTCAAAGTTCTTAAATATCTTAAAAATTCACTTCAGTTTTTCTTGTCTGCAGTGTTCTCTTTGAAACCCAATATCCCTCTGAACCTTTTCCTTTGTAGGTTGTTTGCTTTTTTCATTGGATATCTTTAGAATTTTCTTTTTTCTTTGATAGTCATCAATCTTATTAACGTGTCTAGTGGTTCGAATAAGGGCTTTCATGTTTCTGTAACTGAGAAATTCATTACCCTCATTTCCTCAGATATCCACCTCCCTTCTCTTTTTCAGCTATTGTTTCATTTGGCACCAGTGCCTCCATGTTTCATAGCTTTTCTGTCTGTCTTTCCTGCTGCCTTTCTGAAGAGGTTTTAAACCTCATGGATTTTTTCTTCAGTTGAACATACCTTGTTTGTCCAATTTTTGGTTACTTTAGTTAACTGTATTTTTCATACTTAATATTCCCACCTTGTTTTAGCTTTCTTGGTCTTGTTTCAGAGTTAAGATGTATCTTTCTTCAACGCTTTAAATGTATTTACATTCTTGATTAAATCCTTTGTTTAATAATGCTTCAGATGCTAACTATTTCATTCTTTCATAGTACTCTTCAAGTGTCTAGTTATTTTGGCCTTATAGCTCCAGCACACTGGGCGATATCAGTTACTCTAGTAATGAGTATTAAGGGAGGAATGAAGATTAGACTTCTGTCTGTAACAGTCTCATGGCGAAAGAGAAAGGGGACTGGTTGAGCCTAAGGAGAGCTCCAGTCACCTCAGACTCAGACTTGGCTGACAATTACAGGCAATTTTCTTGGCTGCTTTGGGAGGAGCCAGTCTCCTTTGGTTGTAATCCATTGTTCCGGGATTGGAGGAGGTGGAAGAGTGAGTGCTTACGGGCTCTGAGCCAGTCCAGCTTTCATCAACTCTTCATGTTATCCTAGGAGCAATGGCACTGGGCTCTGTGAAGGGTGAAGGGGACAGGCAGTGAGTGTTGAAGGCAAGTGTAGAACTTTAAAACTTTTCTGCAAAAAGCTTTCTTCCACCTTGTCCTCACTGCTGCCCACTCTGGTCACCACCACCCACCTACCCCCATCCCTGCCTTCCAAGTTGCAGCTCACCCTGTCTGTATCAGTTAAAGACAACCTTCAGTCTTACTCAGAAATTGCTCATGGTGTGATGGTGTGTGTGAGTGTGTGAGAAATAGTTGTTTGCTTCATGGTTCTAAAGTTTCCAGGGTTGATTTTTTTTTTTTGAGATGTGGAGTTGCAGGGAGGCTAGCTGACCAAGCTATTTCACCACCCTGACAACATTTTAATTTTAATTGTAAGAATTAAGAGTTTGTATTTTAGGTTTTTGTTTTTGTTTGTTTTCTGATTACCTTAACTAAAGTGGTTAAGTAGAGAATTAATTTGCTTTACACTAATCTGTGTATGGCAGGAAATTCTAACCTGGATTTTGGATCTGTTGTACAGATTCCCTGAACTTAGGGAACTTTTGAGTGTGAACATTTTTTGGGTGGTAGAGGGATTCATAATTTTAATCATTTTTTGAGGGGCTCATAAACTAGGTGTGTATAACCTTTAAAAAAATCTATGCTCTATAGTGAATTGTATATGAATTATATCTTAGAAAAGCTGTTATTTAAAAATCTACCTCCCCTCTTCATAAAATTTTACATACTTATTTAATGTAATTTCAAATTCCAAATTAAATACTGAGACTAAAAAGAAAATAACGGTGTAGGATACCATTCTTTTTCCAAAAACACATATGTTCCCCTTCTTTCCCCTAATAATTGACACAGGTGGATATGCAGTTGACCCTTGAATAACACAGGAGTTAATCAGTAGTCATCCCCCTGTGTCTGCGATTCCTCCATCCATGGATTCAGCCAAGCACAGACTGTGTAGTACTCTAGTATTTACTATTGAAAAATACCTGCATATAAGTAGACCCATGCAGTTCAAACTTGTGTTTCAAGTGTCAGCTGTACATATTTTATTTTATTAATTTATTTATTTAATTTGGCTGTGCTGCGCTACTTGTGGGATTTTAGTTCTCTGACCAAGGATTGAAGCTGTGCCCCCTGTAGTGGGAGCTCGGAGTCCTAACAGCTGGCCCTCCAGGGAATTCCCTCAATTGTACATATTTTTAAAAATTATTCAGGTTATTGTTAGGATGGTTAGTCCATGACTTTTTTTTTTTTTTTTTTTTTTGGTTGTGGGGGCCTCTTTCTGTTTTGGTCTCCCCCTTTGGGGCAAAGGTTCCAGCCACGCCGGCGACGCGCCATGCCGTACGGAGCTAACGGTC